TCCGAAGTGAGAGCTGGTATCCTCCCAGCCTAGCCACGGATTCAGTAAACAAGCATAGGATTAGTCAATGTTCTTTATGCCTGGACAAAAAGGTAAAGAATAGGATTGCTCCTATTTGGCACATACAATATTTAATACTTCCATAATATAATTTCTATACTTATTACTGATTCATAATAAGGAGAAAGATATTTATCAAAGTTAGCATTTTTATTTTACATAAACTTAACTTATCTTTTTAAATTGTTACTGTTCTGTCAAAATATCAAAAATACCAAAAAAAATTTAAATTTTAATACTACGAAAATATTTGTAGTTTAAGTAATTGTATTTTTATAATAGATAATAGTAGTAGATTAGAAGTTGACTAAGAATCTCTTACCTCGCTTCCCTGTGGGATCGATAAACGGGACTCCACTAGAGCCCTGTATTACTTGAGCGATATGTATACTTGTGTTTGAAATTGTGACTTTACAAAATCATTATAAATATATAAATCTGGGTTCATAAATTCTTACATATTAAAAGTTGTATCAAATTTTTGGCGCCGTTGTCGGAGATTTAAATCTTCTAGCAGCGGTATCAAATTGTTGTATTTTTAAGCATATATAAAGTCGCTGTCAATCTCTTATAAAAATGTTATTACCTTTCAAATGAATATCATAAATTTTCTTTAAGAGCTAACCAAGTTTCATTATATTAATATTCATATTCAACACATACAAAACATTGAAAATAAATTGGTTATTTTCATATTTCAATCGTATAAGAATATTACATTTTTCTTTCACTACTACCTTGGACTCATCTTCAAAGAAACATTGCTGCTCATTGACTCATCGATCACCACAAATAAAAATTTTATACCACACATATGGTTGTTTGCATAGGTGTCCATATACAATGTATTTTTTTCACACTTTTTATTCTTCTTATATACCAATAACAAAGTGTCATCTTGTTGATATTTCTCTTCTAGGTAATTAGTCTTCTCTGCAACTTTTTTTTCATTAAGCGTTCTATATTTTGCAATGCAGTGACAAAAATTTTTGACATTTTTAACTCATCAAATAAGATTCATCAAACATTGGCCTTAATTTTTCTCTACAACACCCTCTTGTTGAACTTCCTCCTCGATAGTCCAAAATTGATATCATTGTCATTGTCATTGTTGGAACTCCAACCTCATCCATGTCCATGACCATGGCCTTGTCCTCGACCACAATCTCTTCTTTGTTAGCTTAAATCTATCATACTCAAGCTCTCACTTCCTTAGATGAATTAAGATGTGTCTTCAAGAGTTTTTTGTGATCTCTTCTTTCTTTTCTTTATAGGGTGTATGAAACTCAGGACAGTTCAATTGTCATAATCAGTCTTTGGTTTCTCCAATGAAGGTGACAATATGATCAAACTTTAGTTCTAAAGGTTGAACAATTTTATCCTTAATCCTTACATTTTCTAACTTCACTTCGTTTCTCTTCATTTAAATAGAAACTACTAAGAATATTGTAAAGTAGTTAGAGATGACCTTGGCTTCTTTCATATGTAAGGCTTCAAACTCACTTTTCTATGAGGTTTGAAGCTTCTCTTATGTCTTTTTGGCATAGTTTGTATTAGAAATCTTCTTAGAGGCATTATTATCTAATTCTGGATAGATAGAGTCTTTTTGTTCCTCTTCATCGAATCTCTTAGATTATCCTTTAGAGTCTGGAATAATCTTATCTATCATGTAGCTCGTTGTACCATTTTTCTACCATTTTCCATACATGTTGTACTGTAAGAAGAGCCTTCATCTTGGTGCTCTAATTGTCATAGTTGTTATTATTGAACATTTGGACTTGGAAGAGAATCATCTCACCATCTCTTTAGAAATGATCTTATGGTTCGGATGCCACTTTGTTGGAAAGAAAGGACTATTAGGATAGGAGGAATTCTAAGAAATAAAATGAACAAAAGTTGGAAAACTCACTATTATTTCATTCTATTTTTATCTTGATTCGAACTCAAATACATCACATCTATTTATACACACCCTAAATAGGATTGTGCCAACACATGTCAATCCCATAACTACCATTGACTCTCTAGAATTTTTTTCTATCTTTTTAATTAAAGTCATTAATTACACATTCTAGAATTTTTTGAATTACATTTTTAAAATATCTCTAGAATATTCTAAAAGTTTCTAATACAAAGATTCTCTAGAATATTTCACAGATCATTCAAGATTATGAGCTAAAATAAAACCCAATTTTATATAGGCCAAAAATCAAGTTTGATTTTCAACATAGCCCTCATTGTGCTGTGAAAGAGCTAAAGGGATGTCATCACCTAAACATGTTGACAATTAAAAGACTGTCGAAGAACTTCGCCGAGGATAAAATTGAATGCCCACAACAATGAAGAGCTCCATAGAGAGGAGTTAATGGTGATGGTCTGAACAGAAGAAAAATATAACAATGATGGAAAAAGGAGCTGCCTGGCTCGTCAGACATGGACTGGCTTTGCTTTGCAATCTGTTGATAAGATCACGAACTGATATAGATCTCTAATAATAAAACACACAAGCTAGAATTCGGTTTATGAATGTTAGTGGTCAAATTCTCCTCTGATTTATGTATTATAGAAGTTTTTTGCTCATTAAAATAAATTTGGGTAAGCCTTTTAGTCTCTTTAATTTTAAATGACACCAATGAGCATAAATAAGATAAAAAAAAATCATCAAACACCAATCATGAACATAAATCATTAGGCAATCAAAAATCATACTTAACATTTATTAACTAATAAAATTAATTTGAGATTATGACCGTGTTTATCCTCCGACTTCGATTACTTCATCAAAACCACTTCTTCGATATAACATTACAAGCTGAGCCAGCATCATAATTAATAGATCTTGACGCATGTATTCTTTATTTGATGTGTTCACATTCAACATAACGAGATGTTAATCCGTCAACACCCAAAGTATGTCCTCTCATAATTTACTTCATTGAGTAAAGCTAAATTCTCCATTTTTAAAACATCCGAAATTGATGTAATATCTATTAAATTTTACTAATAAATAAATTAACTAAATTTAGGGAAATTTACAAACGTGGCACACAATTCTTATGTATTTACATATCACACGCCCAAACTTTCATTGCGTCTCTTCAGCAAGTTACGGAAACACCTGTGTTGATTTGAAGGCAATTCGATAAGCATGGCAATCTTTTTAGTTTTTACTACACAGAATTTTTTTCTATCAATAAGACTCCATGGTAGAAATATTGCATTCAGTTCCTCCACAAGCACGAGGAAAACAATAATACTGTCAAGAAATTTCAGAGAGAAATTCAAATACGAAGCTTCTGATATTTATATGTTTAAAATTAATATAATATTTTATGTTAGTATCTATCATAATTCTCTAAAGAGATTTGTATGTTACATTTTAATATAAAAACCAAATTCTTTACAGGATATCAGTATGAAGTTAGAAAGGTGCGAGGAAGAAAGGTGCCAGGAAGATATATATATATATATATATATAGAAAAATAATGTTGTATTTAAAAATGTTAGTCTATGGGAAAAAAGTAACATGCATTAAATTTATAAAATTTGAATGATTTGACATAGATTAAAAGGACAAACTCTAATAGGTCTGAATATGTAACTATCAATCACATATTTTTCCCTTCACTCATGTGCAAATCTCTCCATTAGGAGATCTTCTTCTTCCTCTAATCTTTTCAGAAAATTCCCTCAGTCTCCTCAACGCTACCTCCAACGTTTCCTTGCTCATATTAGCAAAGCAAACTCTAAACCAACCAGCTTCCGAACAATGGCAAGAAGACCCTGGAGATATATTAAGCTTCACCTCATCCAGTATCACCTTCCAAAGCTTAAGCTCTTCTTCCCTATTCTTCTTCTCAAGGAACTCACCAAGATTCACCCAGCAAAATAGCCCTGCATTCCCCTTCAAGCACTCAATACCTGAATCCCTTAGCTCTTTAACAACACATGAATGCCTCTCCTTCAATCTCATTCTATTAGTTTCAATGAATTTCAATGAAAACTCTTCATCAGATAGCATGAAAGATAACGTCTTTTGAGTTTGAGAGGAGACGAGACTGAAGCTTGACATTCTTCTTGCTGTCTTTACCACCCTGTCATTGTAAGAATATAGAGCTCCCACTCTGAACCCGGGCAGGCCTAAGTCCTTTGAAAGGCTATAAACAATGTGAATTTTTTCAGAGCTTATATGGCTTCTCTCTTCCGCAATCTCTGCAATGCTTACGAAGTCGGTTGCATCGAAGACGGAGCCGGAGTAGATCTCATCAGAGATCAAATGTATGTTTTTTTTGCTGATGAAGTCTAGAATGTCTTCGAGGAGGGTGCGAGGAGAGGAGATGCCGAGAGGGTTAGAAGGGTTGGTTATGAGGAGAGCTTTAACTCTAAGGTTTGATGCTTCGGCGTCGGCGTAGGCTGTTTCGAGAGATTGCAGAGTGAGTTGGAAGGAGTTGGTGCTGTGGCAAGGTATGGGGACAATACTAACTCTTGTTCTCCATTGAAGATCTCTGTCGAATCTGTTCATGTTGAAGAAGGTTTAGTATTAGCTTGTAATGAGAAGTAAAAATATAAGCATGACCAACTACAAGCTGCATACCCAGGGTAGTAGGGAGTGGGAACAAGCAAGGCATCGCCGGGATCAGCTAAGATAAAGGTAAGGAGCTCGTTGGCCGCGGTGGCCCCGGCGGTGAGGACAATGCGTTCAGGATCAAATTTTGCACGATGGCTTCTTATTTTCTCCATGAAGCCTGCAATTGCCTGATAAGCATGCTGAATTATTATTAGCAGAGTAAACATATTGGGCCTACGTTGAGCATAGTTTATTGAATAATTCTAATATATTAAAATTTTACTCTGTTTTTACGACAACAAGGTTGCATGGAAAGTTTTCTGCCTTGTTGTCTGGTAGTGGAACAACAAAGGTGTCATATAATGGTAGCACTTTTCCTTGGCTGTTGTTCTTCGTGACAACTAAAGTGGTAAACTATAGTTTTAAACATAGTTCATTTATTTTTTTGTTGAGAGAGAGGTGGGGGGACCTTTCTGAAAGATTGGAGGCCATGGTAGTCCTGAAATAAGGCATTTTCTCTAAAGCTAGAGGGGCCAGAGCTCCAGCTGTAAGCCTCTGGGTGCTCCTCCAGATAATTCTCAAGCAAATCAAAAGAGACCTTTGAAAACAACATTAAGGCACATGAGTTATGTGTAAGACAACTCTTGACTATAATTAATTCATCTTACTTGGTTCTCAGCCAAACCCATTTGTATGACTCCAGATGGGTTTTTCTTTGCATCATAAGGGTCCTCATTATAAGCTTTCCAGCCAGCAAAGTATGGTGAGTCCTCTCCATGCGCATTTGAGATTGCCATTTTTGACAGTGGGGCTTCAAGCCCAAATATGTTTGCCATAAATCTGTTGTAGATTTTGACAGAGTTTAGATGAAACGAGAGAAGTGGAGTGCAGAGGCAGAAAGGAAAGCTCTTGTGTGGAGTATGCTTCAAATTCCCCGTATATATAAGAGAAAAAAAGGAGAGACAGAGAGGGAGAGAGAGACCAAAAAGCTCAGCTGAGACTTTTTGCATGGAAATGATTTTAATATTCAAATAAAATAAATCTCCATTTCAAAAAGAATTTTATTTATAAAGCCAGCTGTTATCTTATTATTCATTACATTAGAAGTTTCATCCAGGCCCCATCTCCCATTGGTGTTCTCTTCAATCTTCTTAATGTCGCAGTTTGGAACGAGCTAAAACTTATAGTTATTTTGATGTAGGCAAACTGAAAGTCTTGACCCATTAATGCAGATATATCACCCCATTTAGATAAATTAGTATATAAATTTTGTTATATTACTCTAATAACAATATTAAAGTATAGAACCTTTTCAATACTAAAAGACTAATGCAACTAATTGAATATATATATATATTATATATCACTAGTAGACTTTTAAGCTGTAGTTATTCATTTATAAAATATGGATATTAATACGTATAATTAAATAATTATTTAGTCAAGAACATTTATTCACATCATTATAGTCGCATCATTAAAAATATAAGAAAAATATGACTAAAAGATTCATTGAAAATTTTAAGAATGGGGTGGTGATATATTATTTATAGTTTGTGTAGCCACATAAATTATCTAGTTATATAAAAAGTTAACTAAGACATGCATCAACATTAAAGTCATAATACACCTAAAAATTCACAATACACAAGAAACAAATTACAAGAGTTTCTCACTGTACCTATGCAATTTAATATGTTTCTCAAATTATAATTAAAACCGACTCATCATTTATATATTAAAAGACTAGGATGGTAAGAAAATAACTTCATAAAATCTATTATATTCTCATAATATGCAAGTAGGTGTATGGTTAAAAGCTAAATGGTACCATTTGTTCCATTTTCTTCGGTGTTTCATAGCCAAGCTTTTGGGAACAATATTGCTGGCTGAAGAAGGCACAGGAGAGTATGCAAAGAGTAATTTAAGATGCACATTTACAGGGTGGGGTACAAGTGTTCCTACAAAAGCAATAGGCCAACAAGAACATTTGGCATTTACTGATCATAAAATAAGCTGAATACTATTTTTCAAATAAATCTGCAAGCTTGACCGCACTACACCAAAGTGTCCATAATATGAGCCTCATTATTAATGAAAGGTTGCCACTAGTGCTTAGTTATTACATTTATAATGAAACTTTAGAAAGAGCAAGAGTTGTCTTAAACAAAAGCTCTTTTAAAATTGACTTAAAATTCCATCACATGCATTTCTATTTTGCTCATTAAATTTAAAGTTTTGGTTAATATTTTTGTGTCTAAAAGCCATTGTGGCTATACAAATCATTGGTCCCATTATTAAAGACCAAAACGTGGTAGTGGATCAAAACAGGAAATAAATAATAAAAGAAGAGTTAATTTTAATTTAATAGCTATAAACTATGAGACAATATCTTAAAGCAAAAGCTCAGTTCATCCAATAATTTGTCCAAACATAGATGACTTTTATTTGCTAGTGCTGTTTGTTGGCTCTTCGTCGGAAAAGACTAATTATGGTCACTTTGAAAGCTTCGATTTTGAAGTTGGAGCATTTTTCTTAAGAGGCTGCTCAAAGTTATGCACATACTGAAAATTGTTGGGGTGCCCGTAAATTTATGTTTTAAATTGTCTTATTTGCGTATAAAAATTAACTTGTTCGCTAAAATCTTTAAGTGGTTGTACTAGTTCTGAATTTATATTTTGTATAGTTAATGTGTCTGAACTCATTTTTTTAGAAGTAAATAAAAAATAAGTTAATAAATAAAATAAAAATGGTTAGTCTTTGATTTTGTGAGATATATACGTACAAAAGGGAGAAGGGAGAGAAAGAGTGAGAGAGAAGAGAAGAATTTTTAGAGAAAATATTACGTGCAGAGCACACATGGCTAGCTAATAGGAGGAGAGAGATGGGAGGGTCCTGTCTCTCCTCCTATTGGTTGGCTGCACCTAATGTTTTCTCGAAAATTTTTACCACAATAAAAGAAATAGAAAAATATGATGGGGTTTATTTCTTGGAGAAATATGGATGAAAGCTCATTTCAAACCCAAAAAAAAATCTATTTAAAGACCACACTTATTGAAAAAACCACGCTAAATAATTTCACAGCTTTTGATCATAGGAGATAGTTGAGCCCTCTATTTTCAACATCATATTTATTTTTTATATGCGAGTTCTAATAGCAGTGATATTTATATGTGGCTTTCTTCTTATTTATTATCTGTGAAAGTTTGCAATTTTATTCATTTGACTTGATTAAACTTGAAATGTGATATCATAAGATTTCCGAATTGTTTAAAGAAAACTGGTGCACCTCATTGTGTCTAACCATTTTCGCAAAACAATAGTAAATATATCATAAACTTTCTTAGTTGTTCAACTGGTGAAAACAATGGCATCCTGATGCCCTTGTGCCATCGTTCTTGTTCCCACCCCTAAGCTCAAACTTGATTACTATCTCTGCTTGATCTTCGCTCTTTAAAAGACTTGATATGCCATTAACAAATTTTTATCTTTCGGTATGAATCTCAAAGCATGACATGAATCTCGAGGTAATTTTTTGAGTATGAAATATTCATACTTCAATTAAAAATCACCCAAAACTCCAATCTCAACAAACTTAGAATCAAACTATTTGAATCAAAGGCCTAGACTCAATGACACAAAAATTGGTCCAATCAAATTCAAACCAAGCTCTGATCTAGCTATTAAGTTATTTTTGAAAGCTTATAGCGTGCACAACTAAAAAGTCAAATAAATTTTGAATCTGGCAAGCTTGTAGTTGAATTGAGTTTCTCAAAGAGTTGAATCCAATGAGCTCAAGATCTCTCAATTCCAATATCAAATATGTGTTCATATGTTTGCCAAATGCCTCTAGATAAAGGGAATCTCTCTAGGTTGTTTGATGAAGTGCTCCCGATTCCTATCTTATTTTCATGGAAACCTCTTATATATTCTATAAATAAAGTCATAACCCTTCATGAAGGAATTGAGACATTGGGCCAAAGGAAGACTAGAGCTTTGGGAGAAGGAGCCAATGTTTCGTGTTTTTCACAATAGGTCCAATGAATGCCATCCAGTCTTGCAACAATCGACCACCACTTGCCATCCACTGTCAATCACCATCAACCGCCTTCCACTCTTTGCAACAAAGCCCCTTATGAAATGATGATATGCACTACGGAATCATTGAGTATGCCGCAAATGTATCAAATTCTCTACAACTGAACTCTTCTATGGTGCCATGACTCTTTAGCTTACAAACATTGTAATTTGTGAAGCTGTGTAATCCTTTCTTATTTTTTGTATAAGAGCATGTACATGCAATCGTTTAATCATAATAGATCATTCGACCTAGTTTAGGCCCTAATTTTTTTTCCCTTTTTGAGTTTTTTCACTTAAAAACTTTTTGTGTATCTACCAATTAGTTTTATTATTTGAGTGTATGTTAGATTCTCGCACAACACTAAGACGATAATCCATTACTCTACAGTCGTGAATTCTCTAGCATGAATCAATTGAGTGATGCTTGTGGGAAGGACAATTCCACCATCAAAAGACTAGTGAAAATTGCTAAATTACCACCAGACACAATACTCACAATAATGGAGCATCCCGCTCCAACACCCACCATTCCATTGGGCAGTCATGGAGCTAAGTACATCAAGCCTCTGCCGCTTCCCACTCTAGAAAAAAATTATCCTTATGTCAAGAGCTTAGGGCAATTTTTAACTAGTTAAGATATGAAATGTGACTACCCTTATACTAAGAGATTAGGGCAATTTTTAACCGATATGGGGTCTTTCCAGTGCAGATCAAATGAAAATCAATCGAAATAATAATGACCTATGTTGTTTTCTACTGGCGAAAGGGGGTCCCATGATCAAATGATTTATTTAGTCACAAATTTTCTTTTTCGAGTGAAGTCAGATGGATATGTTTAGTTTTGGAAAGTCGACCAGTTCCAATTTTTAGGCTTGAGAAATAAGGTCAAGGATTGAAAGTAAAAACTCACACTTCCCCATCAGCTCTTACTCGGCTACTACCTCCCACTCAGCCACCAACTCCCTTCTTCAACTAGCTGAGCCCCACTATTGCTTCCTTTCTGAGAGAGGAAACTTCCGTCTGGGTATATATTGTGTCAGAGGGGGACTCGTAGGTCACCTTTAATGTTATAGTTACCTCAATGTTCATTTCAATGTTTTGTGTGACTAACATTTGTATTTAAAATTCATTCTCCTCAGGCTGCCTGTGACACAGATCACAAAGTATTAAGAGTAGATATGATACTGCATATCTCTCCTGAAAGCATATCTTGCTTGCAACTAAGGGCATGTGTTTCTGGGGGTTTGAGGTGGGATCTTTACATTTGAATTAGAATTCTAATTTTAGGTTATTTTATTATACTAATCAATGCCATACACTTTTTAATTAGCTGACCGCTTTCTACTGGCTACCAGAGCATAACCATCAGATCCGTTAGATTTCTAAGATCCATGTTAGACATCAGTTGGGTGATATGTTCACCATAGCCAGTAAAAGGGTGCGTCCCATATGGATCGGAGAGGATATTTAAGTTGAGCTGACCAAAGCCTGAGCCTCTTCCGAGTATCAAAGGAAGAGGAAGACCAATCAACAAATAGAAGAAGCGAGAGGGCCATGGGCGTTGCCATTTATATTGGAGGCTCAGTTCCCACATGGAGCACTAACAGAGTGCCGGTGAGATCCATTAAACACTAAGAAAATAAATAATGCAATTTAAATTATGTTACTTACTATTTTTTCATGTCTACAATTTAAGGAGCTTGGCCTGGCCCCCATCACTGCAGAGTTTCTTGTATGAACACATAGACGCCCAGAG